AGAGAGAGAGAGAGAGAGAGAGAGAGAGAGAGAGAGAGAGAGAGAGAGAGAGAGAGAGAGATTGTGTGTGCGAACTCAGATCTTGTGCAACTGTGCCACGTTACAGAGTGCAGTCAGCCTGCAGCTGATGGATATGTTGCCAGATGTTTTCACAGGACACACATCTGTTCTGAACTCCTTGGATCTGATCAGTCATTTCATCAAGGTTTGTTGTCCTGAAAGGCAGGGAAGGCTGCTGACAGGGAGATGGTGGTTTGTCAAGGATTTTACCTTAGCTTTTGCAAAACTGAGTTGTTGCAACATGCCAAAGTTAATGTCCAGACCAAACGTCTCCCAGCACACCACTGACGTGAAACACATCTGTCACTGGTCACAACTCTAGGCTAGATTATTATTTGTCATTCAGGACATGGCTAATCTCAAAATGTTTTCATCTTTAAACAAATCAACTGGACTTGTTTTTTTCAACCAGTTTGACACAACTGTCCACTTTGGAGTAAGCTGTTGGGGGAAGAATCAGTTTTGTTGTGTGTTTCCTTGACTGATGAAGGCTTCCGGATCAAAGGCAAATCGTTTCAGCACAAAAAAAGAAACCGTCCAGATGACCTGACTGAAAAATGTTGAACTGGACTTGTGTTCTGTAGCTAAATGTTTTTACATGTACAAGGAAGTCATCAAAGTTCATGCTCAATAATCCAGGTAAAGAAATCTAACAATGTTCAGTCAAGTCATCTGGACAGTTCCTTTTTTTTTGTTGTTGTTGAGAGATGTTTCACCCTCCAATCCAAAGGGCTTCATCAATCTGAACAGTCACAGACAAACTGTTTTCCCCACCAAGCAGTACACTCCTACATTGGACCAACCAGCTTGGGGTATGTAAACTGAACAATATATTAAATGAGCACCAGTGCAGTTTTAGAAACAACTACTCCGCAACTTTAGCTGTGATGGAGTTTGTGGATCATGTTGCTGCAGCAGTTGATCAGAAACTTAACACAGTGGGTGTGTTCATTGATTTTTGTAAGGCATTTGACACTATTGACCATGAACGACTCTTGGGAAAATGTAAACAATATGGCTTACACATCAGTGGTTAAAGAGTTATTTGAGTAATGGGTTACAATATGTACAAATTAACAACACAAAGTCACAAATTGAAACTATAAAATGTGGTCTTCCTCAAGGATCAGTTCTAGGACCTAAATAATTTATACTTTATTTAAATGATATTTTTACAGTATCCAGTATTTTGAAATTTATAATGTTTGCTGATGATACAAACTTTTTCTTTTCTGGAAAGAATATGGATGAACTAATACAAATAGTAGGAAAAAGAGGTAGCTGAGTTTAATAAGTGGTTTGATTGTAATAAGCTATCTTTAAATGAAAAAAAAATAAAAAAATTTATGGTATTTTCAGGTAATCGGATTTATAATAATGAAAAGTTACATATAAATGGAGTTGAAATCGACAGTTTATGAGACAACATTTTTAGGTATCATTCTGGACAACAAACTTAGTTGGAAGCCTCATATTAAAAATATTAAAAATAAAATTGCTAAAACTATTGGAATATTGTTTAAAATAAAAGATTTTTTCAATTCAATCCAATTCAGTTTATTTATATAGCGCCAAATCACAACAAAGTTGGATTTAATAAATGTAAAAGGCTTGCATATTATATACTCTTCCTTGATTATGCCCTATTATTGCTCAAAAATATGGGGAAATGCAAATAAAACTACTATTGACATATTAATAAAGTTACAAAAAAAAGCAATTAGACTTATTAATATAGTGGGATATTGTAAACCAACTAATAAACTCTTTATTCAAAGTAATACTTTAAAATTTAATGACATTGTTTATATAAAAATACTGGAAATAATGTAAAAATCTTCCTTCTGGAATTCAGAAATTATTTAAGTTAAGAGAATAAATATAATTTACGAGGTTTGTTAATATTTGAACAAGCTAAAGAAAAAAGTAAAGTAAAATCTAGATGTATTTCAGTTATCGGTGTGAAACTTTGGAATGAATTGAATGATGATTTCAAATTATGGTTTTTTTTGGTGAGCTTTAAAAGAGCCTTAAAATGTAAAATTATAAAAGCTTATGGAGATGTTATGTAGATGTATATATGTATTGTGTAACCATGTATGTAATGTGAGTATATGTATGTATTATATACATGCTGTAAGGGTCCCACTGCCTGCAGCCTGCCTTGCTGATGGCCGCTGATTACCAACACCTGGCGGCCATCAGCCTGATGAGCCTCTCCATCTACTTAAGGCTGCAGTCAGGTGTGAATCAACGCTGGAGCATATCACCTCTCATGTTTCCTGGTTCCTTCGTGTTTTTGGATTCTCCTCGTGGCCTGACCTGGATCCCTTGGCCTGTCAGGTACTTTCCCTCGTGCCTCTTTGCCTCCAGTTGCCAGCCTTCCTCGTTCCCCCTTGGACTCTTGTTGGATTTCCCTCTGCTGCTCTCTCCCTGGACTGAAGGACCAGCTCACCTCCTTCGGGTTTGGACTGTAAGGACAAGACGCTCTTTAAACAAACCATTCTGGTCTTCCCCGTTGGACAAACATTAACCTGTCGTCCCTCTTTCCAGGAGCCGCTGTGAAGCAGCGTGTGGACTTTAATATATCACTGTACATAATAAACACTGTTCTTTTGTACTTCCCCTGTGTCTGCCTCGTTCTGGGTCTCATAACATCTGGGTTCCCCGCGCAATCGTAACACATGCATATTTAAATATTTAATTATACGGTAAATGTCTGTAAGTGTATATGTGGACAGTAGATATCGGTCATTATGTAGACTGCTGAGTCTATGAACAGGGTAGGCAAGTATAAGCCTTGGCTTCAGCCGATTCCTTTTTTGGTAAATAATTGATTTACCATTTTATATTGTTTTTCCCTTTTTTTGTAATGTTTTTAATTTACCAAAAATAAAGTTGAGTTGAGTTGAGTTGAGTTAAAAAGACGATCTTGAGTCATTTCTTCATATATTTGTTTTTAATTTTTTGCAGGTTTTTCTTTTGTTTTGTCAAGTATGTATGTATGTATGTATGTTTTATTTATTCATTTCATTTCATCCAAACAACAAATATAATACAATTTAAAGAAAAGAAAAAAGATATACAATCACAGAAATAAAATGAAAGGCAGCAGAAGAAGAATGAGTTCTTATAATATCTGCCCCTTGTCCCCAAAATATATTCCAAACAAAATTACTATACAAAAGCAAGATGAATTAATAAAAAATAATACAAAAACTTAGCTAAAATATAAGATCAACTGTAAACAATTTTTATGAACTCACATTATACTTAATATTAAAAAAAAATAATAATTATCATCTTCTTGAATATGTACATAGTTTTGGCATTTTTAATATCAACCTCCAGATCATTACACAATCTAATACC